GGGGGGAGGCGTGGCAGGATAACACCACCCCTATTCGGAATCCTTTATCCTGCTCTACACGGAGCGCTGGGATGCCCTGCTCCTCTACAGGTCTACCTTCCGTGGAACACTATCCATCATGCAGCTAAGCGCTTTATAATTAACCATATTGTTTCCTTGCCGTAAATGTACGTATTCGCGGAACAAGAGCGAAGAACTGCAACAACAACAACTTTGTCTTTAACTTTTGATTCCAAGTGATTCCCTGCCCGAGGAGCGGCGCACGAGCTAAAGGGCGGCCCTCCCGACCCGTCGTGGATCATCGCTAGCTAGCCCGCTAGCCCCAACTTTGTGTGCTATCGCTAGCTAGATAGCTAGCCGGCTAGCGGGACGTGCTAATTGGATCCGCCCACATCGCTCCCCGGCGCGCCGCGCCCTGACCTAGTGCAGGGAGTCGGGCGCTCCCCGTAGGGCCCGGACCCACCGCGCGCCCGCGCGCCAGCCAAAGCGCAAATTGCATACTGCAAAAAAAACGCTCCATTAAAATTTGCGAACTCATTCATATTTCCGAAATTTTGTTTTTCGAAAACTGTTATGGCGAGTGATCGGGCGAAGTGGAGGCAATAGTGCAATCCAAACGACGCATCCGTCAAAACTTTGGGATTCCGTTCTGACTACCGAATTTTGGCATTTGATCTGGAACTGCAATTTTGCTCCCTTTCCATGCAGGCAGGCCTTTCCCTTTCCTTCTTGGTTTCGAATACTGAATATGAGCAGTCTTTCAGAGCAAGCCAACATTTTAAATTCTAATAACAGTGAAAAATGTGGCCAAAGTTTTGCAGTTTCTAAGAGAAAGCAACAATTTGGCAGTTGAAAAAGGAATGTGAAAACACGGGCAAGCAAAAGCGACCACCGCGGCGTTTAGCGTGTGTGTTGTGCTGCTGCTATCCGGTCCGGCGGGAACATCGTGTCGCAATAAGAGAACTACAACGACGGTCATACCGCACCCCCCTTGTACGACTTTGCCCTGGGGAGTTGTGTGACCATCGCATCGTGTTACTCAACGAGCAGAATTTTTAAAAATGTAGGGGAAAAGACATGAATTTAAAGTCTCTGACAAGACCAAAATTTACACTGAGAAAGCTATACAGTGCTGCAGGCTTTCACTGTAGCTAACGGTGAAAATCATTGCAAGCTTTTAACAGTGTGCACACTTGCAATAAGTGCGTTGTGTCAAGCAGTTGCACACTTAGTTTCACTCGCAGGCGCAGCGTCTCTAGAGAAACCAATCATCTTTGCGCGACGCTTGTAAAACCACGTACGTCTATTTTTTTGGCGATTTTTGAAACCTATACACCATTCGATTGAGAAAATTTTTCTATATTTAAACACAGAGTTTCTGAAAAATCGTCGAAAAATGCGTTACGAGGTTTCACCAGAGTCGCGCTTTGAGTAAGGGACGAGGGGCTTATCAGTGTGGCGAAATTCGATTGATAAAACGGGCAAGACTTTTTTTAGTTTTAGTGGAATTTGTCATAAAAGCACATTTTTGTTGGCCGGCACCAGGGAGCGCCTGCGATCGGCCGGGTAGGCAGTCCCGTCGGGCAGGCAAGCTCCGCGGGACTGCCTACCTGTTAGGGGCGCAGCGTGCCGAGCGAGCCGTGTGCCGTGTGCGGGGCCAAGCCACAAGTGTGAGGCGTAGGGCAGGCAAGCGCCTGGGCGGCGGAGGGCGGAGGGGGCGGCGGCGGAGGGTGCAGGGTGGGCCGCCCCGACGCCGTGCTCGCCAGTCGCGTCCAAACCCCCGGGCCGTGAGGGTCCCAGCTCCGTGCTCCCCCCGCACAGCGCCGCGCTCTCTCCGCACCCCGCCCCGCCGCCGCGCCGCGCCGCACCGGCTCGGCTCGGCCCCGCCGCGCTCGCCTGGCCCGCGCTCGGCTCGACCCCGCGCGGCGTGCGACAGTCGACACCCGGAAGTAGACTGGTCCTCATCGACGGCGTCCGTCTCGTGGTGGAGTGCCCGAGGCCCCGAGGCCCCCGCCGCCGCCGTGGACGTGGGCAAGGCGATGAGCGACGGGCCCCGCTATCTGTGCACAGTCCAGTGGGTCGCCGCCACTGGCCGCTGACGCCGCGCCAGTCCGAGTGTGTGTGCGTGACTGTGTGTGTGTGTGTGTGTGTGCGTGTTTGTGTGTGTGCGACAGTCTCCGGGTGCGACAGTGTGCGTCTTCAGTGACGTGATTAACAGCGAGACTCCGCCGCGCGCCGGCATGTGAAGGTAGGTCCAGCTGAGGGGGAGCAGAGCCCGCACTGTTAAAAGCCTGCGAAGTATTTTGCTCCTTTGTAACTACGAAGCATTTAACTTAGCAATTACAACGTGATGCTTTGCAATTACGAAGTGACACTTTGCAATTGCAAAGCGATGCTTTGCAGCGATTTCATTGCTTCGCAATTGCAAAGCATCACTTTGTAATTTCAAAGTAAATGCTTCGTAGTTGCAAAGGAGCGAAATACTTCGCAGCTCTGCAAAGCGAATGCTTTGTAGGAATTTAACAGCCCGTGCTGCAAAATCACAGCACCAGCCAGAACCTTAACAGTAAACCTGCTTTACTCCTTCTTATGTCAGTTTCGTTTGAAGTTGAGGAAGGGTTTGTTACTTGAGGCACCATCACAATTGCAATTTTCCTAGGAGAACAAAAAATGAAATTCAAGGCCGGTGCCTGACAAAGATTGACGATTTCCGAAATATTTTCACAAACATAGGCATCCGGCAATTTCTTTCACCATACCAATTTGGTGTGCGTGTTTGATATGTGTTTTTGATGTGTGCGTGTGTGTGTGTGCGTGTGTGTCTGTGTGTGGCCGCAGCTCACCTGCCAACAATGATTAGCGGTACAGTGTTTGCTTTGCCTTTCGCACAAGGGGGTGGTCGTCAGGTCGGGTGTATGCCGCTCGTTGTCCAACCGCACACTTCGCAATAATAACCCTTTTGGGAGACGCGGGCGCGCGCGCGCGCTTGCGCTCTGTGCGGCTGCACTAAATAATGTACATCCCAACGCAATTAGCGCCCTGGTGCGTCCCACACGTCCGGTCAAAGAAGGGCCGCCCCGCCCCGCCCCCGCCACACCCCGAGCCGGCACCAGCAGCAGCGCGCGGGCTCGGCCGGCGGCCACTGATGACCAAACTGGATAATCTCGTTTGCCGACGCGATCTCTCCCCGTCCTAATCCTTCTACCGGCCTAACTCGCCCC